CTCTGTCACAGGGAATTTTGATCTGATGTTAGGGCCTTTGAGTTGGAAATGGAGTCCCAGAACAATCAGACAGGTACCCCAATTGGGGTTCATCGGCATTAGGAATATCACAATGGAAGATTGGTTTGTTTGAGCGTTCTTGTTCTAGGTCCCCAAAAGCAATCCCCAATCCTGTGTTCCCCATAAAGGAAACTCCTAAAAGAAGCTAATATAATTCTCTGGGGAATCCCATTCCAAAGCCATCCCCTTTGAAGGCCCAATCTGGGGGATACATTTGGGTTTCGGAAGGTGGGATTATTTGCTCTCCTTCTCTTCCGATGGGTGTGGCCACACCTGGTTGAGACTGATGGTATGTTAGACAACAGGCAGGAGGATGGTGATGGTAGGAAATACTCTCATTCACACCTGACGCTATAATTCACAGTCCACAGAGGGGAGTAGATGGATTTATGGGGGTCTCAGACAGTCCCTGAGCCAAAGACAGCTCAAAGCGGCCAAGAGTCAGAGACTGTTTCCTGCAGGCCAGTGGATTTGGAAGATTACAGCCTGGGGTGGGGAGAAGATTTGTATCTGGCTGAGAGGAGTCTCATACAGTGGGGGAGGAATCAAGAGGTCTTTGAAAAAAATCACTTTCCCAGTCAAGAAAGGACTAGACTGTGAAACAGCTGGAGAAATTCTGAATTCCCAGAATTTGTGTTCTCTTAGATTTCTATTAAGCACTCATTGTTCCTCTGGCTGGGTGGTGATGGTGGGTAAGGTAGGACTGCTCCCACAGAGAAAACCAGGCATGCCTATAAGAGACTGGGCCACTGAGCTAAGGCAGTGGGGTTCTTAATCTGGGGTCAGTAAACTTGTTTTTAAAAATATTTTGATAACTGTATCTCAGTATAATCGAGTTTCCTTTGTAATCCCATGTACTTAATTTTATGCATTAGAAAACATTCTGAGATGGCGTCCATGTGCTTCACCAGATCGTCAGAGGGGTCCACAACATAAAACTTAAAGAATCTTTTCCCTTTGTGTACTTACCTCTATCCCTCTCAAATAATGACTGATACTTCACAGTGAACCTTCTGGGTTCCTACGTAAGTGCTAGAAACATAGAACTCTAGAATCCCAGGATTGGAAAGAAATTCAGAGGTATCTAGGACATCCCATATTTGAAACACGGATTCTCTTTACAACATCTCAGACAAATGATAGTCCAACCTTGTTCCACACAGGTGTTGCCCCCTAGAATATAAGCCTGGAAGAGCACTGGAAGAAGGAGCACCATGGCAGGTAAGATAATACTCATTACCACTTCATCTCTTTCCATAATGGAGGAAGGGAAGGGATGAACAGCTGAACTGGCAGTAGGAAGAAACACCCTGAGAACACAAGGGGAGAAAAGTAAGGGGCTGTAACTCTGGGTTAGCAGCTGAGACCAAGGTGGAGACTGAGGGGGCAGATACAAGCTCTAAAAGATTGCCAAGTGTTTCACATTCATGATGAGGCGATCTCTCCTCAAACTAACCCTATACCATAGACCCCTTTTTTAAGGGTTGAGATAGGGGATTGGCCCTATGATTTCATCCTCATTGAGGGAGACTCTCCACCCACGCACATAGGAAACTCAGCTTTAATTCATAGTCTTAGAGAGCTGAGGGGACCTCTGTGTGTCAGCCTTGAACCTAGTTCTTTCAGACTTCAAAGGTGGCCCTCTTTCCACTGTGCTGTCAGGCATCTTGAGGTTGGTACTACAGGTATCAGGGGTGGGGACTGTATCTGTGATGTCATCGGTACAAGAAATTCTCAGGTGAGCAAACTCCCTCTCTCAGGGCAGGTGGGCACCCTCTCTGTGACTTATGGTCTTAGAGAACTGCCTAGAGCACTAAGATAAGTGACTTGCCCAGGGCCACACAGCCAGTAGGTATCAAAGATGAGACTTGGACCCAGGTCTTCCTGGTTTTGAAGAAAGCTCTTTCTCTCCATCTCTCTCTTCCCTCCTCCACCAAGATAGTTGTTGTTGTTTGTCCCTCATTCTTGAAGAGGGCCATGACATCAGGGAGGTGATGCCGTGACTTGCAAGTGAATTGGATTTAAGTGAGGGAGGTTCTGTGCAAAGTCACCAACCTCACTGTCTCCTCTGGAGCCATCTGGGTTCAGTGGCCAGATATAGATCAGTACAACTGGAGATGTTCCCATCCCCATTAGGATATAAGCTTTTTGAAGACAGATAGTGACTCTAGACCACCTCTCCAGGCTTATTTCACACCAATCCTTTTCAGATTTCAGCCAAACTAGACTATTAGTTATTCGCCCATCTCATCTAGCTTTCTCATACCTCTGTGTCTTTCTTTGCAAATGCTGCCTCCAGGGCCCAGAATGAACTCTCTTGACATTCATGCAGTTTTGACAGGCAGGGATCATTCTCTTCCTTCAAGGTGCTTTGTATGGACCAGCTGACTCATAAAATCTTATCCGTAATCTAACTCTAAGTGATCTCTCCTTGCTCAAATCTTTCCAGACTCTCTGAGTTCTCCTATGCACTTAACATTTCAGTTATTTATGTAGAGATAATATTGTATATAATACATTGGAATAGAGAATATAGAATATCATATATTAATATATTTTATTATCAAATCATAATTGAAATATTTTACACTATACTATATTATATATCATCTATATTATACTGTATCATATATCATATCATATATACCATTATGTATATTATATAATATTAACAATATATCACTTTATTATAACAATGTACATTTTATTATGAGATACCCTAACATATATTATATTGCAATATTATATACAACCTTACATAATATATAATAATATGCATTGTATTACAATATTATATATGTAGTAATAATAATGTTACTCTAATATACGCAATATATTATCTAATGTTGTTACAATATAAACATGTATTATGATTACATACTATTATAATTATTTACATATATATGTCTCTCTCTTTCTTGCTTCCCTACCACTAGATTATAAACTCTTTCAGATCAAGGCCTTAGTTGTTTTTCATCTTTTCAGCTGCTACTAACCCTCGCATTTCTATACTAGCAATTATCTGGTGATCCCAAAGCACTCTTCCATTTGGCAGCCTCTTCAGTCCATTCCTTAGCCATACTGAATGGGCAGGAGAAAGGGACTGCTCTCCCAAGGGACAATGAATCATAGTGACTGTACTGTATTAAAAGAGAGAGTAGTAGGAGGACAGGAATCCAGTTCTCTGTCGTCCAGACTATTCCAGAATGTCTTAAGCAGACTGACTTTAGAGATCAGTCAGTCATTTTGTTAGTCGTGTACAACTCTTCATGACCTCATTTAAGGTTTTCTTGGCAAAGATACTGGAGTGGTTTACCATTTCCTCCACAGATGAGGAATTGAAGGAAACAAAGTTAAGTTACTTGCCTAGGGTCACACAGCTAGGAAGTGTCTGAGGTGGGATTTGAATTAATGAAGATGATTCTTCCTGATTCCAAGCACAGTACTCTATCCACTGCACCACCTGGCTGCCAGACTTTAAAGATAATGGAGGAACAAAGACCCATTTTCCACAGCGTTTCTCTGTGCCCCCCATGCCAGCCCTTCTATCTGTGTGACTGGGCAAATCCAGGCTTCTATAAAAAGGGGTTGTTGGATTACATGACCTGCAAGGTTTCTTCTAACTCTAAATCTATGATCCCATAAGATGATCTTAATGACCATTGCTATGTGGAGAAACCCAAACAGTCCAGGATGGGCCAGAGGGTGAGGTGCATTTATTTTTCTTCTTTCCTTTCCCAGGGAAGCCTTTTAAGAAGACCTCCATTCCTGGGGTGACCATCAGGCAGCTGGTAGATGAAATTCCAGAAGGATGTAGCACTCCCAATTTTGAGCAGAAGCCCATCACAATGGCTCTGCCAGAAGGTGAGCCTCTTAAAAAGATTTCAGATCCCTGGCGCCATCCCCCAACCTCACCTCAACCTCCCAGCTTACATTCCAGGGGATAAGAAAGCAGTTACCTTTGTGCCCTGGCTTCTAGACCCCCTTTCCCAGGCCCAAGAATGTCTTCCAACTCATGATCAGAAGTGTTTAGTTCTGTGCTTGGATACTCAAGTGGTTTACCTGGATCCCCAGAAAGGTAGAGTTGGAAAGCAAGGACTGGACTCTCAGGGCTTTTAGAAACAAGAAACAGAAACACACTGTATTGCTTCAGAAGCCACTTTGAGGAGATACTGTTGGAGTAACAGTAAAGAAAAGAATAAGCTGACAAAATGAAGAGGGTTAGTGTTTGCTTCCACCAGTCTTACAATGGGGGTTAGTGAGAGAGCTGAGTAAATAGCTCTTTACACACACACACACACACACACACACACACAAACACACTCCCTTGTCTCATCACCATGCTGAAAAAAAAATAGAACAAAGTATTCTCTTTGCAAGAGAAACACAGATAAAGTGCTTAATTATGGGACTATCTTTAAACCTTAATTATGGGGTATCTTTAAAACAGGAGTATTGCTTGTCAACTGAACCAAACCTCTTGGCCTGCGGAGGCTGGAGCTGAACAGATAGAACAGGCAAAGATCACTGTGTAGAGACCGAGACAATTTAGTTTCTGTAGTGAGGGAAATAGCTTGCAAGCGAGAAAGGGAACTGGACAAATGTACCACCCCTCCCCTCCCATAGTAGGGGAATCCACTTTAGCATGGGCAAACCTCAATACTTATACCAATGACTGTGAGGTGAGCTGTAGCCCTAACAATGAGAGGTAACAGCAACAATGAGACAAGTTTACCTCATAGCAGGGCTTCACGACTGGACTGCAGGTACTTGTCCGAGCTTAGAGAATACCTGGTGCTGGTTAAAACAATCCGATAATTGTGTGAAACAATTCCGGGATTTTGCTGTGATTGAGATCATCCAGAGAGTGAGTGCAAAGGCTTGTTGTTATGCCAAGCTAAGGGCACAGCCTGTTTGCTGGGCGTTAGCTCTAAAAGCAGGGTGTCTCCCTGTACCTCCTCCTTCTCCCCTCTCTCTCTTCTTTTTCTCTCTCTCCTCTTTCTTCTCTCTTCCCCCTTCTCTTTTCACCCCTTTCCACTTTCTGTCCCTCTTTTTCTTTTCTTCTTTCTCCTTCCTGTTTTCTCCCTGTCCTCTCTCTTTCCCTTCTCTCTCCCTTTGCTTTCTCCCTGTCCTCTCTCTCTTTCCTCTCTTTCTCCCATTTTCCTGTCCCCCTTCTCCCTTTCTCCTTTTCTTTCTTTTCTCTTTCCATCTTCTTTCTTCTTTTTGTCTTTCCAGTTCCTACTTCCCCTCTTTTATCACCCCCCCCCTTTTCTTCACAGTTCCTCTCCCTTTTTTCTCTTTTTCTCACCTTCTCTCTTTTCTGGCTCCCACTCTGCACCCACCCCCCATTCTTATTTATCCATCTATCTGCCCTGATCCCTTCTAAGCTTCACTTTGTATCTCCCACTTCCTAGGGAAAAATGCCATCTTCCGGGCTATGGTCTCTGGGGAGCCCAGACCTGAGGTGCAATGGCATCGTACCAGTGGTGATCTCAGTGACCCCAACAAGTACAAAATCTTCTCCCAACCCAGAAGCAAAGAACATGTGCTTCAGGTAAGGAGACTGGGGCTCTTACATTAACCAGTGTCCCTTTTTCCATCTATTCTGTTCCCTTACAAGTCTCCTCATTCTACCCCCACCTCTCATATAGACACTCAGCAAAGAACCCCCATACCTAAGAAAAGCAAAAAATATTAAGACATTTTTGGTTGAGAATAAGTCCATTTAACCCATTATTGTTACTCAGGTTCCCCTAGTTTGAGAGCAGGGACCAAGTAGGGCATCCAGGGAGGGGACATATTTTTCACTTGAATTTTTATACAATATATAGGCTCCATTGGTTAAGAATGGAATGTCAGCCTTGTAAGTAGCAAATATCCAAACTTCCCCATCAGCCTTTCCCAGCCTAGGCTGACACTGGGAAAAACTAAACATTTGCAAAGTATACACCATGTGTAAATCATTTGCTACCTTTCTACTCAGCTAACTTAGTCACCCACCTGAGTTAGCAGCTAGAGGGCTTTTGGAAGAGGAGTGGAGAAGATGGTAGAATTTTGGCTAGAGGTGAGGGGGAAGATATGATGACTTTTAGAAATTCTAGGTAGCTTTATCTGTCCTTGTCTCCCACCTTTTCCCTTATAGATCAGCAAGTTGACAGGAGATGACACAGACACCTACCGATGCTTGGCTGTGAATGAATATGGAGAAGCTATGTGCTCAGCAAGGCTCACAGTTATTGAAGGTGAGCTAGTTGTGGCCAGACCTTGACCAATGAGAGTTCAGAGCCAATGGGCTCTCATCCAATCAGAGTACTCTGATGATACCCTCCCCTTTTCAATAAAGGTGGAGGGGAACAGGTTCTTTTTAACTGAAGTCCAAATTGGAGTGCCTACCCCAGATCTCCTTCCCTAGCCTTAGACTTAAAGAGCTGCCAAATGGATAGGCAGAGTGACCACCATCATATGGTAACCTACCCTAGAATTTTCTTTGATAAAACAAAGACCAAAATTAAAGAATCCTGGATTTGGTGTTAGAGGACCTGGGCCCCATACCAGCTTTACCTCTTATTACTATGTGACCATTGGAAAATTTCCCCTTTTTTGGGACTCCATTTTCTTATCTTTAAAATGAAGACATCAATCCACTTGACCCTACAGTCACTTCCAACTCTGTATCTCAAATTTTATGATCTAGTCTAAACACCACAGGACTGAGATGTGAAAGCTTAGTTGAGGGCTCAAGGGAAATGAAGGAATTCCTACTGCTATTATCCCCAGGAATCATAGCTATTGACTTATAAAGTAATTAGAGCATTCAATTTACATATAATTTGCATGACACACTTTGAAATGCTTAATCTGCATATAATTTAAATGACGTTCATGAAGTATCTGGAAAGAGAACTAGATTAGGGCAAGGAGACCTGGGTTTTTGTCATGATCTGTCATTCAACTTGGACAAGTCATTTCCCTTCTCTAGGCATCAATTTCCTAATCTATATAGTGAGGGGGTTCAACAAGATCCCTTCTCTATGATCCCTTCCAGGTCTAATATGCTGTAATTCTATGGTATCAAAATAAATGGATAACTTCTCTTCCTTACCTGTCCCTTCCCACCAATCTCTTTTTCTCTTTTGAATGCTAATATATTCTGAAAAACAGTGAGACAAAGCTACACCTAGACATGCCTGGCTACATGTCTGAATGTCACTGCTGATAATTTCTCCAGTTCTTGTGAGTAAGAACAAAGTATAGGGAAGGAAGTGGATTAGCACCAACATCATGGTGCTAAGTTGATGCCTAAGAAAGACTGTTAATGCTCTTAATCTCTGTCTCCCTTCTCAACATCTGGCTACCTCTCCTCTCCTTGGATGGAGCAGTTGGCTTCCGGAAGAATAGGAAGAGACACAATGAGCAGCAGGAGGGTAGGTTGCTTTGTGAAACAGTTTTCCTGGGATTCTGTGAGTCTTGGCCCCCAAATTCCGTATCACCTTGAAACCTGGATCCCAGGACCCTGGGTTTCCCTTTGCTTTCCTCTGAAAAACCCTATGCTAAATTAGATTTTATGGGTCACCCCATCGCTCTGTGATAGTTTCATTCCTTATGCCTCTGCAGACCACAGGAAGGAGCTTGTGGACTTTCGGAATATCCTGAGGAAGCGGTGAGTTTGTGCCTATCCAGGGGCGGGGGTGTCATCAGCTCACCGTGAGGGTGGAGAGGTTAGGGCACTAAGCATGAGATTTTTCTCTACACCGTGATTTTCCCAGGGTACAAATTAAATTGACAATTGACCCAAGATGGAAAATTGGGCCCCATCCTCTTTTCCTTTTCCTAAGCATTTGAACACCAAAAAGGCCAATACCCATTGTATCACAGGGTCACAGAATTTGGGGCAGGAAACAATCTAGTGCAGTTTTCTCATTCTACAGATGAGAAAACTGAGACCTAGAATAGAGAAGTGACTTATCCAAAGTCACACAGGTAGTCCCCGCAGCAGAGCTGGGATTCAAACTTGAAATCCAAGGATCTTTCCTGTCATTTTCCAAATTTCTGTACTCCAAATCTCCCTATATAGTCCCATTACTCCTTTGTTACCATAGCTCTAAAGAGCTCCATAGAGGGAACTGTTGGCACACTGGATAGAGCCTCGGGCCTGGAGTTAGGAAGACCAAAGTTCAAATCCTGTCTCAAACACTTACTCACTGTGTGATCCTGGGCAAGTCACTCTCAGTTTGTCTTAGTTTCCTCATCTGTAAAATGGGGGTAATAGCAGCATCCACCTTGCAGGGCTGTTGTACAGATCAAATGAGATAATATTTGTAAAAAATGTTTAGCACAGTGCCTGACATATAGTAGAGGTTATATAAATGCCTTCTCTTTCAAGCGTCATTGTTTTCATCTTCTTTCTCTGTCAACAGATTTTTTTCAGGGTCTTATTTACAAGTTAATTGAACAATAATAATTCAAAGGATTACCAGGAATCAAAGTTCATCAAAGGGAATCTGAGGAGTACACTACATTTTACATATCTACTGTGTTTCTGCCTAATCCCTCATTGTGATCTCCCTTCTTCTAACCTCTGGTTAGAATGAGAATAACCTCCCCAACATCCTCCCATTCTTGGTGAACTCCCTCCTGTCCCCTAGGGTCTTAGATTTAACCCATTTTAAAAATCCATGGTAAACCTAAGCCAGTCATGCCTGGTTAAGTCTTGGTACAGTGAAAAAATCTCCACTGACAATCTCATTAATTTAACTTACAAATCCATCCTCCCTTATTGGGGGTTGAGAGCAGTGGTAGAATGGGAAAAGGGGAAAAATGTCATATCAAGATTATCACACTTTCCCATATCCAAATCCAATTCTCAGGCTCCCCCCCAAATGTATATATGGAAAATATATATTACTACATATATTACTATATATCTATCTATCAACATACACACATACTTTTGTGATAGCAACTTCATCCAGAGTCCAACAACAAGGGAGCACAGTGGTTCCTGGATTCTCTGCCTGGGGCCCATGACTGACCTGACCTGGGTAGGTGTCTGACCTTGCCTATGCCTCTCCTTAGGGCACCTCCCCCTCCACCAGAGAAGAAGATGGACCTTGAGCAAGTATGGCAATTGCTGATGAATTCTGACCGGAAAGACTATGAGCGGATCTGCATGAAATATGGGATTGTCGACTTCAGGGGGATGCTCAGGAAGCTTCAGGAGATGAAAAAGGAGCATAGAAACAAGATGGCACAGGTACCAGCTCCCCCACCTATCATCTCAGACTCCCTACAAAGGGCAACTGATCACCGGAGTCAGATGACCTGGGTTCACGTTCTGCCTACAACACTATCTCTGAAACATTCCTTGTGCAAGTCCCTTAACGATAGCAGCAACAGCTACAACACCAACAATAACTTACATTTATACAGTGCTTTTAATATTTGCAAAGAGTAGGAGATGACTGAAATGGCTGAACAACAAAGCCCTGCCATGTTCTGTTATGGAGTGGGAGTTCTCAGGATGATAGAAACCAACTAGTTTCCATCTTCACAAGAAAGAATGATCTTAAGAAGGAATCATCTTAAATTTCAGTAGATAGGTAAGTGAAAATTGGGAAAAAATGTCCTAACAGTTGGCAAACTTTTGGAATAGGGCAATTAAGGAGCCCACCGTGTCCTTCTCTACTCAAGGTCTACCTGGGAATGAGCAGAGCCAAATTCCATTTTTCTTGAAAGTTGAGTTTCGAGTGGCAACACCATATTAACCAACACTCCAGGATGGGTCCCTCAGAAGTCATATTTATCTATCCTGTGGTCTGGAGTGTAAAGCAATAGAGAGTATATTGAATTTCAAATCAGAGGTTTGTTGTTGTTTGGCCATTTCAGTTGTGTCTGACTCTTTGTGACCCCATTTGGGGTTTTCTTGGCAAAGATACCAGAGTGGTTTGTCATTTCCTTTTCCAGCTCATTTTACAGTTGAGGAAACTGAGGCTAACAGGGTGAAATGTCTTGCCCAGAATGACGCATCTATTAAGTGTCTGAGGCCATATTTGAACTTAAATCTCCCTGACTACAGGTCTGGGGCTGTATGCACTGCACTTTGAATGGGTGTGGCCTTAGATACACTGAGACCTGGGAAAGACCTTAATTTAGAAAGGCCAAGGTCACCCACTGCATCCTGGACCATCACAAGTTGTCTTGACCTTAGTCTTACCACTGGACTTTGATGATTCTGGAGGAGAGAGTGAGGCTGCTATCTTTATAAAGCTCTGATCCACTCATATCCAATTAATTTGCCAGTCAAGACATCACCCTCATGATGTTATTATTGGTCCTTTTCTAGAAGGAAGGACAAACAACAATAACAATCACTGTTATACCACCTAGGTCAGAGGACCTGAGTTCAAATGGCTCTGCTACCGTCTGTGTGCCATTGAACAAGTCACTTAGCCTCTTTTGGATTGAGTTTCCATATCTGTGAAATAAAGGGATTGAAAACTAGATGATCTCTACGACCGCTCCCAGATCCAGATCCTTTGATCCAATATCATTCCCTGGCAGACCTTGAGTGGAGGACATAGTGGGCTCCTTAACTGACCTATTCCAAAAGTTTATCAACTGTATAGGAATTCCCTCCCCCCAATTTCTATTTAATCATCCACTGAAGTTTAAGCTCATTTCTATTTGTGAAAATGGAAAGTAGTTGGTTTCTATGATCCTGAAAATAATCCTTCATAGACCTGAAGGTAGTTATCAACCATCCATTCTTAGTCCTTGGGCTTCTGATTGAGCAGAGTCTTCAACAAAGCACCCTGCCACAGTGTTCAATGTGCATTAAGCATTCAGTCCATAAAGAATGAGTGGAAAGATGGATAGATGGAAGGATGGATGGATGAATGGATGGGTGGATAAATCATGACATACACTGATCACAATGGATAACTTACACCAAAATTTTCCCAGGGTACAAATCAAATTTACAATTGATCTGAGAGGGAAAGTTGGGCGCCATCTTATTTTCTTCTTCCTAAGCATTTAAGCACTGAAAAGGCCAAAACCCACTGTATCATAAGATTTGGAACAGGAAACAATCATAGTGCAGCTTTCTCATTTTGCAGATGCGGAAACTGAGACCTAGAATAAGAAATGACTTGTCCAAAGTCTCACAGGTAGTCCCAGTAGCAGAGCTGGGATTCAAACTTCATATCAAAGGATCTTTCCTGTCATTTTCCAAGTTCCACCCCAAATCTCCCTATGTAGTCTTATTACTCCTTTGCTACCATATCCAAAGAGCTCCATAGAAGCATTCCATTTCTGAGTTCCATTCCTGATGGCAAGCTTTGAAATCTTTAGCCGTGTCTTTTCCTTTGATTGTCTTCAATTGTCCCAGAAGTGAAATGGAAAGATTGCATTCTCTGCCCTTGTGTTTTAGGTGGGCAAATAACACTAGGGCTAAGTTATAAGTTCACTGGAAAAAAGTCACAAGGAATTCTCCTGGGGTGATGGGGTTTCTATTCTTCATAGTATGTCAATGCCATCTCCAACCTGAGACATATCAAGGTCACCAAGGATGGACTTGCAACGTTTGACCTGGAACTTGATCTCAAGGATTTTGAAAGCAAAATTTACTTGTACAAGGTGAGGTTGACTTGGAGTAGGTGTGGTCTGAGTCATGCACAATGGGATTAAATATCTGGGGCCCCTTACTCTAGCAATACCCGAGAAGATACTTCAAAGAGGATCTCCTTTACCTTTGGCTAAATGGAAAATCAACAGATCACCAGCATTCCCTGAAAAGCAGGGGCTATTTGGATGGCATTTATTTCTACAGTGAGAGAAACAGAAGGAGGCTGGTAAGAGTGCCCATGATACTTTTACCAGGTAGCCTTTGGGAGTAATGAACTTTGATTGATTGAAGTGGCAGGATTTAGCTAGAGTAGGCACATTGTATCATTGAAGTATCTTGTGGAGTTTCAGGGCCTCTGAATACTTTGCAAATATCCCAGGTTCCACTGAGATTACTTCAGTCTTTTAGCTCTCACACTTTATAGAAGCTGCTTGGGCAACAGTTCCACTTTTGACCTGAGCTGGTGATTCCAGTAATAGATACTATTTTGCATATCATTTACATGGCACTCACTCCTGTTAAAAGTCACAGAAACACCTTGGGACTATTTCCATCTTACTCCACTCCATTTCCCTTGTACTTCTCCACTCCCCAACAGATGGCATGGAACCTCTGTTCCTTTTTCTCTATTTTACTTTAGTACCAGATTTGCAAGTGACATGCTCCATGGGCAAAGGCCAACTTTTGGGCAAGCAATAGACACTGGCTGGGGATTATGAGACTAAATGGGAGCTGGGCAAGAGGGGTCAAAAATATTAGCAATGACTTCTTGTTCATTTTATGTTCCCATGCTTCACTCTCCCTCTCCCCAAAGGATGGTGAGATGATTCGCTATGGCTATGGAAATGAGACCAAGTACTGCTTGAGGCGTCTGGGAAAGCGCTACATTTTCCACATTCAGGACCTGCGACCAGAGGATGCTGGCATCTACCAGGTCAAGGTGGCGGATGTGGAGGTGTTTTCAACTGAACTGGAGGCAGATGGTAAGCTATGGACCTTATCATTTTTCAATTCACCAAACACTTATTAAGTGAGTTCTATATACCCAGCCCTATGAAAGACAGGACAATAAATATCTTCCACAATACCTGCCCTCAGGGAACTTACATTTTCACTATGGATAAAAAAGACATACACATGAAACAGTTAAATTGCCATCAACTAAAATCTATATAATAAGAATCTGTCTCCACCTAGAGCGAGAGCTGTACTGTTACACAGAAATATTCCTAGGCTCATAGACAATAGAGGGTATATAGTCTAATCCCCTCATTTTGCAGGTGAGGAAATTGAGGACCAAGGTTATACCCCTGGTAAGTGGAGGGGCTGGGACTAGAACATAGGCATTCTACCCCTAGTCTAATTCCTTCTCTAAAACACTTTGTGTTAAGCGAAACATTATCTCCTTCCGACCAAACCCCTCCTCTCCAACCATTTGTCTGTTTGTAGAGTGAAAAAATTAAAGCACCGATACCATGAC